AGAAAGAAATTCCTATGTCCTGAATGGTATTGCTTAGGTTGTCTTTCAGAGTTTTTACAGTTTGGGGTTTTGAATTTAAGTCTTTAATCCATCTTGAGTTGATTTTTGTATATGGTATAAGGAAGGGGTCCAGTTTCAATTTTCTGCATATGGCTAATCAATTATCCCAGTACCATTTATTAAATAGGGTGTTCTTTCTCCTATTGCTTGCTTTTGTCAGTTTTGTCAAAGATCAGCTAATTGTAGGTGTGTGGCCGTATTTCTTTGTTCTCCATTCTGCTCCATTGGTCTATATGTCCGTTTCTGTACTGTACAATGCTGTTTTGTTTCCTGTAGCCCTGTAATATAGTTTGAAGTTGGGTAATGTGATGCCTCCAGCTTTGTTCTTTTGCTTAGGATTGCCTTGGCTATCTGGACTCTTTTATGCTTCCATATGAGTTTTAAAATAGTCTTTTCTGGTTCTGTAAAGCATCTCTATTATAGTTTAATAAGAATAGCATTGAATCAATAAATTGCTTTGGGCAGTATGGCCATTTTTGTGATACTGATTCTTCTTATCCATGAGAATGGAATGTTTTTATTTGTTTGTGTCATCTCTGATTTCTTCGAGCAGTGTTTTGTAGCTCTTTGTAGAAATCTTTCAGCTCCCTGATTAGCTGTATTCCTAGGTATTTCATTATATTTGTGGCAACTGTGAATGGGACTGCATTCCTGATTTGGCTCTAGGCTTGACTGTTGTTAGTGTATGGGAATGTCTGTGGAGAGAGGATCCTCCATCCTCACCCAATAGCAATGAGATTGAATGAAATGGTATTGACTGAAGCTAAACAGACTCCATTTCCCCTTTCCTCAGTGTCAGAGGGTTCCAGTAAGAAGCTGAGCTTAAACATTTACTCAGAGACAATGAATGTAAGTTAGTACTCTGCTTTTTCTGGAAAGGTGTCAGTAGGGCTGAGGCTGGAGCTGAACTTCTGCCCTAACCGTCTGAAAGAGACAGTGTAAACTGGCACTCTACTTCTGCAGGTTGGTGTCAGCCAGCTTATCAGGGAGCTAAATATTCACTTCCACCAAGACCTGTGTGCTATACCTAAGCAGGGGGATGGCTGTTAAAAAGGAATACTTTTTAGAACATAAAGTCTCACAGTATTACAAATATCCAAAAATATAATTTTAAAAATCACACATAATACCAAGAACTAGGACAACTACAACTTTCATGAGAAAAAATAATTAATATATTATCAACAGATGTCAACAGTGATGGATCAGATACTGAAGTTCACAGACTATCATAAAAGCAGCAATCATAAAAATTCTCCAGTAACCAATTGTAGATTATTTGAAACAAATGAAACAATAGAAAACCTCAGCAGAAAATTGAGAATATTAAGAAGAATCAAAGGGAAATTATTGAACTGTTAAAACAATAACTGAAATTAGCAACTCACTAATCAGCAAAATAGTTAATTAAAAATGACTAGAGTAAGAAATAATGAACTCAGCCTGGGCATGCTGGCTCACACCTGTAGTCCTAGTACTTTGGGAGGCCAAGGCAGGTAGATCACTTTAGGTCAGGAGTTTGAGACCATCCTAGCCAACATGGTGAGACCCTATCTCTACTAAAAATACAAAAATTAGCTGGGCGTGGTGGCATGTGCCTGAAATCTCAGCTATTTGGGAAGCTGAGGCAGAAGAATCACTTGAACCCAGGAGGTGGAGGTTGCAGTGAGCCGAGATCATACCATTGCACTCCAGCCTGTGGGAAAGAGTGAGACTCCATCTCGGAAAAAAAAAAAAAATAATGAACTCAGTGACAGATATATAGCAACTACACAATAATAACAACATGGAGAAACAGACTAAAAAAGAATAAATGGAGCTTCAGGGTCCTTTGAGGCAATACCAACAGATGAAACATTTGTATCATCAGAGTCCCAGAAAGAGTATGGCGCTGAAAAATAGTCAAGAAAATAAACTTTCCTAAAGTTGGCTAAAGTCATAAACCTACAGATTCAAGAGGTCAAGCTAACACAAATAGGAGAAGCCAAAAGAAATCCATGCCAGTATGCATTATAATTAACCTTCTGAAAACAAAACACAAAGATGAACTTGCTTCAGCCAGGCACAGAGCCTCATGCTTGTAATCCCAGCACTTGGGGAGGCCGAGGCAGGTGGATCACCTGAGGTCAGGAGTTCGAGACCAGCCTGGCCAACATGGTGAAACCCTGTCTCTATTAAAAATACAAAAATTAGCTGGGTGTGGTGGCATGTACCTGTAATCCCAGCTACTAGGGAGGCTGAGGCAGGAGTATCTCTTGAACCTGGGAGGTGGAGGTTGCAGTGAGCCGAGATCACACCATTGCACTCCAGCCTGGGCAACAGAGAAGATTAGCATGGCCCCTGTGCAAGGATGACACACAGATTCATGAAGCCTTCCATATTATTGGGGAAAAAAAAAAAAACCCACAAAGAAAAAAATCTTGAAAGCAGCATGTGAGAGAAATGACACCTTACCAACAGAGGAAAAGCAATTCAAATGACAGCAGATTTCTCATCTGCAACCATGCATGCTAGTAGGAAATGGCACAACATTCTTCAAGTTGTGAAAAGGATTGTCGGCTGTGGAATTTACATCTAGCAAGAACATCCTCAGGAACGAGTGGAAAATAAAGACGTTTTCAGACAAACAAAAACAAAGGGTATTTATTGGTAGCAGGCCTACCTTTTAAAATGGCTAAAATGTCAAAATAGGAAATAAAAAGCAGAAGGAGGCTTGGAACTTTGGAAAAAGAACAATGGAATGGGTAAAAATAGGAATAAATCAGATGGACTCTTATTCTCTTCATGAATTTCTTACATCATATTTGATATAAAAATCTTTACATGATATGGTGCTTAATGTATTTAGAGGAAATACCTAAGAGAATTATACTTTAGGGAGAGATGTCTACTTTTGAAAAGATGGAATAGACATATTTTCCTTCTTTCTTCCATTCAGTACAGATAAAATCAAACAATCCAGCAATCTCAATCCTAGGTATATACCCAAAAGAAAGGAAAGCAGTATATTAAAGAGATATCTGCACTCCCATGTTTATTGTGACACTATTCACAATAGCCAAGACTTGGAAGCAACCTGTGTCCATCAACAGATGAATAAATAAATAAAATGTGTTATTTATGCATAATGGAGTACTATTCGGCCATAAAAATATGAGATTCTGTCATTTGCAAGAACATGGATGGACCTGGAGGCCATTATACTAAGTGAAATAAAGGCAGGCACAGAAAGACAGCACATGTTTTTTTTATCTGTGGAAGCTAAAAATTAAAACCACTGAACTTACGGACATAGAAATTAGAAGGATGGGCTAGGCGCCCTGGCTCACACCTGTAGCTCCAGCACTTCTGGAGGCCGAGGTGGGTGGATTGCTTGAGCTCAGTAGTTCAAGATGAGCCTGGGCAGCATGGCAAAAAACCCCATCTCTACAAAAAATACAAAAGTTAGCTAGGTTGGTGGCCACACCTGTAGTCTCAGTTACTCAGGAGGCTGAGGTGGGTGAATCACTTGAGCCTGAGGAGGTTGAGGCTACACTGAGCTGCGATTGCACCACTGAACTCCAGCCTGTGTGGCAGAAAGAGACCCTGTTGAAAGAAAGAAAGGGAAGGAAGGAAGGAGAGAGAAAGAGAGAAGGAAGGAGAGAGAGAGAAAGAGAGAAAGAAAAAGAAAAAGAAAGGAAGAAAGAAAGAAAAAAGAAAGAAAGAGAAAGAAAGGTTGCCAGAGGCTGGGAAGGGTAATGGTGGTGGTGGATGGTTGATGGGTACAAAAAATAGGAAAATAAATAACACCTAGTATTTGCTAGCACAACAGGGTATATTAAAATTAATTTTACATTGAAAAACAGTATAATTGGATTGTTTGAAACACCAAGGATAAATGCTTGAGGTGATGGATACGCTATTTACTGTCATGTGATTATTACACATTGCATGCTTGTATCAAAACATCTCAGGTAACCCACAAATACATTCACTTACTATGTACCCACAAAAATTAAAAGTACAAACAGTTAAACAGACAAAAAACAAGGGTGCAGCCAGACGAGGTCACATAATCCCAGCACTTTGGGAGCCTCAAGTGGGAAAATTGCTTTAGGCCAGGAGTTCTGGACCAGCCTGGTCAACACAGACTCAGGTTCGTTTTTTTGTTTGTTTGTTTGTTTTTTTGAGATGTAATCTCACTCTGTTGCCCAGGTGGAGTGCAGTGGCGCAATCTCGGTTCACTGTAACCTCCACCTCCGGGGTTCAAGCAATTCTCCTGCCTCACCCTCCTGAGTTGCTGGGACTACAGGCGCCCATCACCACGCCCGGCTGATTTTTGTATTTTTAATAGAGACGGGGTTTCACCATGTTGGTCAGGCTGGTCTCGAACTCCTAACCTCAGGTGATCTGCCCGCCTCGGCCTCCCAAAGTGCTGGGATTACAGGCGTGAGTCACGGCGCCTGGCCGCGAGACCCAGATTCTAAAAAACAAAACATAAAAATTAGCCGAGTGTGGTACTATGCACCTGCATTCCCAGCTACTCGGAAAGCTGAGGTGGGAGGATTGCCTGAGGCCCCGAGTTTGCGGCTGCGGTGAGCCTCGATCACACCGCTGTACTGCAGCCCGGCCGACAGAGCAAGACCCCGGCTCAAAAAGTCAGCGAATAAAGCGAAGGGGTGTACAAACAGGCGTGAATTCGCAGCATGGAGGACAAGTAACATCTTTAAAAAAAAAATCAGAAAGGCCGTATAAAAAGTTAGAAAAAGAAAGACTTGGGGCTTACGTGACCACCCTTCTCGTGAACCCGAAAGTTAGATTTTACTTTCCGATTTTTCACCGTTTCTCCTGGATGCTGCGGTCCCGGCCCTCGCGGCATTCTGGGTGTTGTAGTCCCTCGCTCCAGGGCATCCGCGGTAGGGCAGTCGCGCGCCCCGGGGCAGACTGGGTAGTGTAGTTCCGCGCCAGGAGCTCGTTTCCGCGTCCCGCCATCGTCGCCTGGAGCGTGGTGAGTGTCCTTTCACGGTTCTGGTGAGTTAGCCCGGAGGTGGTCCCTCTCGCAGCCCTTCCCCGGGAAGGAGGGCCGGGAAAGCTGGCGTGGGCAGTCCTGGCTGTGGCGACACGCTTGAGTTTCGGGTGTGGGGTCTGGGCGTGCGCGGTCCGCCCGGAGAGCGGCTTTGGCAGAGGTCCTCTGTTGGGGAGGGAGCGTTGTTGCGAGCTTCTGGCGGGCTTTGGGCCCAGCATCTGAACCTGGAGGGGCCGGCGCAGGCCTGAGACCGACTTCTCATCCTACTCTGCAGGTGCGTCCCGGTACTTCTGGGGCCCTTGAGTGGGCTCTGCCTGGGGTACCGACACAGCGTCCGGCCGCCTGCATCCCACCATTCCCTCCCCACTGTCGCACCTGGGAGGTCTCTGGGCCAGCAGGTGCCTTTGGGGGACTTGATATTCTCGGTTGGAGCAAACTTCCCCATCGGTGTGAGGCACGCGGCTGGAGCAGCAGTCGTCGGGTTGTGTTGTATCGTATTGGTATCGAGGCTGAGTCTCGCTCTGTCACCCAGGCTGGAGTGCAGTGGCGCAGTTTCGGCTCACTGTGACCTCCGCCCCTCGGGTTCAAACGATCCTTCTGCCTCAGCCTTCCTAGCAGCTGGGATTACAGGCGCCCGCCACCACACCCGGCTTTTTGTATTTTTAGTACAGGTGGGGTTTCACCATGTTGGTCAGGCTGGTCTCGAACTCCTGACCTCAGGTGATCTTCCCGCCCCAGCCTCCCAAAGTGCTGGGATGACAGGCGTGAGCCACCGCGCCTGGCCTCAATAGGGTTGTTTATTAGGGCTCGGTGTGGCTGGCTAGCGCACCACAGTTGTGATGGCGCAGCTTGGCCACTAGCACTCGGGTCTGTGGGGGAGGATTGTTTAGGGGTAGACATCCAGACTTAATCTTGACAGTTGGATACGGCTAGGGCCGTACGACTTGGGTCAGTGGCCTTGGAGCCTGTGGGCCCTGCTGCACCTTGGTGAGTTTGGGTAGAGTTAGAGGGTTTGGTTGGAGTTAGACATCCCTGGATTGTGGGTTGTCTGGGGGAATGCTTGTGTCCAGATTGTCGGCTTTTGCGGCTATGTCACACTCCCTTGGACTTTGGGACCCTTCAGGGAGCATGGGTGGGAACAAGTATAATTGTGCCCATAGGGCCAAGGAACATTTTTCTCAAGCCCCAGGGGGCTGTTTGCTGACTCCCTGAATTCCTGGAGGTGCAGGAGGAAGTGGGGAGCAAGGCATACTGACCTACATTCTTATTTCTAACTTTTCACTATGAAACCATTGCAGAGATATCCAGAAGTAGCTATAAAGTTCCATGAATTCATCACTCAGATTCACTACTTATAAATGACTCACCTGTTTTCTTTCTCCCAAATCTGCAACCCCAAGTGTGGATCTCTTTGGAAATGGTCTTTTTCACTAGGGGTCTATGCCAGGGTCTGCTGCCTTGAGTGCTGGCCCTCATAGAGTGAGTTCAGATCCAGGTCTCTCCCTTCATGACTGTCACTTTGAGCAGGGTACTTAACCTGGAGGAGCTGCTGTGAATGTGGAATGAAGTAAAACTTGTGTATGACATTTCTCTGCTGTAGTGCTTTAAAACAGATTTCAAATATCGTATCATTTCATCTGTAAATGGCAAAAGCCGTAATTACTTTTGCATCAACCTAACACTTCAGTATGCATCTCTCATACATGAGGAATTTAAAGAAAAGCAACTTCACCATTAACAATCATACCCAGCAAAATTAACAAAATTTAGTTAGTATCACTTCTTCAGGCTGTGTTTTTTCCCTATTTGTCTCAAAAGATGTCTTGCTACAGATGTTTGTCCACTGCAAAGCTTTCCTGAGTTTTCTCTGGCAGAATTACTTCCATCGTCCTCTTTAGTCGCAGAGCACTTTTTGACATGAGGACTTCACCGTTTGCATGGTACATCTCAACTGCCGGGCTGTTCCACTGGTTTGAGATAGTTCTCTGAGGGGACAGGCACCTTGTCTTGTTCCTCATGTGTCACTCACAGTGCTTGGCACGCACCTGGATTGTGCAACTGACTGACACTGAGGGTATGAATTGTCCTTTTTGCCTGGAAAAGAAAGTTCACGGAGGATAGAAACTCAGATGGGAAAAGGGGTCAGGCTGTCACTGGGGAAAGCCTAGGGTGCCAAGACTGTGTGAGGATCTTATCTGAGGTAAAAGGGATCCACTGCTGGGTTCTGACAAGAGAAGGTTCTATCAGTGCCCTCTCTCTCTGCTCCCTTTTACAGTGAAAGTTATCAAAAGAATTATCTACACTTGATGAATGCAGTTCCTTTCTGTACATAATCTAATTTCCAAATATTTCAGGGATTTCTATATATTGTTACTGACTTCTTATTTAATTCCATTCAGGTCAAAGAACAAATGATGTATAATGTCTTTTTGCAAATTTATTGGGAGTTGTTTCACAACCCAGCATGTCGTGTGAGTTTGGGAATGTACCACGGGCCCTTGAAAAGACTGTACATTCTGTTGTGCAATGGTGTACTAATAATATCAGTTTGGTCAAGTTAGTTGATTATTATAGTCAAATCTTGTATTTCCTTATGGATTTTTTTCCAGTTATTTTATCAATTGTTGTGAGGTCAATTCTCCATTGAATCCTGTCAATTTTTGCTTCACGTATTTTGAAGCATTGTAGTTATAAGGTGCATACACATTTATCTTTGTTACATCTTCCTAATGAGTTGATTGTTTTATTATCATGAAACATCCCTTTGTATCTCTGGTAATACTTTGTCTTGAAATATGCTTTATCTGATAGTAATGTAGCCATTTCAGTCTTGTTATGTGTACTCTTTGCATGGTATATGTTTTCTCATCCATTTTCTTTCAACTGACCTATGTCTTTATGTTTAAAGTCTTTATTTTGTAGACAACATATCGTTGGGTCTTTTTTTAAAAAAAATCATTTTGGCAATCTGTGCCTTATTTTATTTATTTATTTTTAGAGACAAGGTTTTGGTGTGTTGTACAGGCTGGTCCCCAACTTGTGGGCCAAAGCAATCCTCCTGTCTCAGCATCCCAAAGTACTGGAATTACAGCATGAGCCATTGTGCCCAGCCAGTCTGTGCCTTTTATTTATTTATTTATTTATTTATAATTTGAGACGTAGTCTTGCTCTGTTGCCCAGGCTGGAGTGCAATGGTGTGATCTTGGCTCATTGCAACCTCCCGATACTGGGTTCAAGCAGTTCTTCTGCCTCAGCCTTCTGCATAGCTGGGACTACATGCCAGGCTATTTATTATTATTATTATTTTTGTATTTTTAGTAGAGACAGGGTTTTACCATATTGGCCAGGCTGGTCTTGAACTCCTGACCTTGTGATCTGCCCTCCTCAGCCTCCCAAAGTGTTGGGATTACAGGCATGAGCCACTAAATCTGGCCAGTGTGTGCCTTTTAATTGGAATGTTTATTTCATGTAATTATGGAAACAATTAGATTTAGGTCTCTTTTACTGTTTGTTTTCTTATTTGTCTCCTGTTTTTGTTTTTTTTTTTCTTCCTCTGTTTCTATCCCTGCCTTCTTTGGGCCAACTGAATTTTTTCCTTAGCATTCTAATTTAACTTAATTCAGTATAATTTAATTGCCACTTAGTTATACTGCTTTGCATTTTTACTTTATATTTTTAGTTTATATTTTAGTTTACTTTATATTTTTAGTTTATGTATTTTAGTCTACTGCTTTAGAGATGACAGTATACATTTGTAACTTGTCACAGTCTAATCTTGTACAACTTCATGTAAAATGAGGGATCTTATAATTGTATGGGTACTTGTACCTACCTGCTCCTTCATTCTTCAGGTTATAATTGTCATATGTATTGAATCTTCATATGCTATCAGTCATAATGCTATTTTAATATATTTGCTTTAAACAGTTGTTTATTTTATTTTTTTTAGATGGAGTCTCCCTCTGTTGCCCAGGTTGGACTGCAGTGGCACAATTTCAGCTCACTACAACTTCCGCCTCCTGGGTTCAGGCAATTCTCCTGCCTCAGCCTCCTGAGTAGCTGGGATTACAGGCACACGCCACCATGCCCAGTTCGTTTTTGTATTTTTAGTAGAGATGGAGTTTTACCACGTTGGCCAGGTTGGTCTTGAACTCTTGACCTCAAGTGATCCGCCCACCTTGGCCTCCCAAAGTGCAGGGATTATAGGCATGAGCCACCACACCTGGCCTCAGTTATGTATTTTTTTTTTTTTTTTTTGAGACGGAGTTTCGCTCTTGTTACCCAGGCTGGAGTGCAATGGCGCGATCTTGGCTCACCACAACCTCCGCCTCCTGGGTTCAGGCAATTCTCCTGCTTCAGCCTCCTGAGTAGCTGGGATTACAGGCACGTGCCACCACGCCCAGCTAATTTTTTTTGTATTTTTAGTAGAGACGGGGTTTCACCATGTTGACCAGGATGGTCTCGATCTCTTGACCTCGTGATCCACCCGCCTCAGCCTCCCAAAGTGCTGGGATTACAGGCTTGAGCCACCGCGCCCGGCCTCAGTTATGTACTCCAGCCTGGGTAACAAGAGTGAAACTCCGTCTCAAAAAAAAAAAAAAAAAAAAAAAATTTTATCTACTATCTAATCATGTGCATGCTTCCTCAATTGCCTCAAAAATGTCTAAGCAAGGTTCACATATTACAGTTGACTGGTATCTCTCTCTCTCTCTTTTTTTTTAAAGACAGAATCTCACTCTGTTGCCCAACCTGGAGTGCAGTGGCACAATCTCGGCTCACTGCAACCTCCGCCTCCCAGCTTCAAGCAGTTCTCGGCCTCAGCCTCCCGAGTAGCTGAGATTACAGGCATTACCACACCCGTCTAATTTTTGTATTTTTAATAGAGACAGGGTTTCACCATCTTGGCTAGGCTGGTCTTGAACTCCTGACCTCATGATCCACCCGCCTCAGCCTCCCGAAGTGATGGGATGATAGCCACCATGCCCAGCTGATTGGTGTCTCTTTAATTCTTTTTTTATTCTATAAGATCTATAAGAGCTCTTTCTACTGTATTTTTTCTACTGTATTTTTCATGCTATTCATTTGTTAAAAGTGTTGCATTTAAAAAAAATTGCAAACATTAGTTCACACCACAGAATGTTTGCATAATTTCTTAATGACTGTTTCCTCCATATCCAGAATGCCATGATCATACTGTTGACAAAAAGAGTCAAACTATGTAAAATATTTTTAGGGATTTATTCTGAGCCAAATATAAGTGACGGTGGCCCATGACAGAGCCCTCAGGAGGTCCTGAGAACATGTACCCAAGGTAGCTGGGGTAGAGCTTGGTTTTATATATTTTAGGGAGGCATGAAACATCAATCAAATACATTTAAGAAATACGTTGGTTTGGTTCCGAAAGATGGAACAACTCAAAGACGGGGCTTCCAGGCTATAGGTAAATTTCAACATTTTCTGGGTTGACAGTTGGTTAAGTTAGTTTGAAGACCTGGGATCAATAGAAAGGAAATGTTCAGGGTAAGATAAAGGATTGTGGGGGACCAAGTTTTATTGTGCACAGGAAGCTCTCATAGCAGATTTCAGAGAGAGCAAGTTGTAAAATGTTTCTTACCAGACTTGAAAGGGTGCCTGGCTCTTAGTTGATGATCTCTTGGATCTGGAAAGGAACGAAGAAAAACAAAGGGGAGAGGGGGATTCTCTCCAGAATGTGGGTTTTTCCCACAAGAGGCTTTGCAGGGTAATTTCAAGGTATGGCAAGGAAATATATTTTGGGGTAAAACATTTTTATTTTCTTCCTTGTTATGCCAGAGTCAGATTGGAAAGTAAGTCATGACATACAGGGTTAAATAAAACTCATCTGATGAGAATTTATGGTTTATAGGGCATGACTCCCCAGGTCCCTTAGATAGGAATTTGGGTAAGATTAAAAAAAAAAAAAAAATCAGAGCTTTGTTCTTAACACCTAATAATATTAACAATAATTCTCATCACATATTGAATTGTCTCTTGTAGTCTGTGTTAGAAATAAGAACTGAGTCACCAAGAAAACGAGCACTCAAAAAACAGATTTCTCAGTAAGGCAGATTTACTTCTACAGAAGGGTGCCGCCTTCGTCTGATGCAATTGCGGGAGCACACTGAGTAGGGTGGAGCTGGGATCTTTATCCCTAACGTAGTTCCTGTTTCTGTGTTCTTTCTCTGTTGGCTGGAGTCAGACAGCACAGTCTAAGCTAACCCAATTAGCTAGTGTTTGAAATTGAATATGATTGATTAGGTGGGAAGGGAGAGGCTGTCCGTTGCTAAGGTGGGAATAGCTGTTTATGGAACAAGTACAGGGCATGTTTGGGTGCGGCAAAGGCAGGAAGGGCTGTTTACAGAACAAGAAAGAACAAGAAAGCACAGGGAAGTTTGAAGAGGAACTTATTATTCTCAACATCTGCTTTTCTTATTCGTTTGTATAAAACAGGATCCAGTCAAGACCTATACTTGTCATCTGAGGAATGATTTAAGAAATATTTTCATTAAGAAAAAAATCTACCCCTACTTTTCCCTTCTTAAAAATACCTTCCTGAGATTGATTTATTTTAAGACTAGGTCAATTACTAACTGCCCATTCTTAAATTTCAAGTTACATTTCAAATTTGGGGACCTATTTTTGATATGTGAGTGGAGGGGAGGGTGCAGCCAGGATCACATAGAAGGAAACTCAGATTATGGCCTCCAGCCTTCTTCATATCTCCCTCAAAACTAGGAATCCCGCCTTGGATTTCCTGAAACCTGTCCTTTGGCCTCAGGGTAAACGTGGATGGAATGCTTTGTTTTCAGTATGATGACACATTTTATTTTTCGACGTGAATGCTCACTGAAGGGCACTCTGAGGCCTTTTTCTTTTAACGGAGTTCACCCAAAGTCTCACCGACCTGCTGGAAGATGGGGGCTCCATTCCCCAACCAGAGTTTGGATCTGAGTCTGTCGTTGGCCCAGCTCTGTGAGCTCTATTTGTAAGACACTGGCTAAGAATGGGCTTCACTGATGCCCTCTGCAACCTGCCTTTGTTGCTTCCCTGTTCCCGTACTCCCTACTGAATTGGGAGGCTGGACAGAGTGTGAAGGGTGTTCCTCCCAAGTACCTCTCTCACTTCCCATCTTTCCCCAGATTTGCCTCTGCAACTTGACTCTCCTCTAGGAAGAGCACTCCAGAGAGCAGGAATATGGCCCCAGGGCTCCTGACAACCAGGGAGGAGGTGAGTCCTGAAATTTCTTCCTAGCTCTTGCAGGAAGGATTCATAATCTTTTCTTGTCCTGAAGGCTACCTTCTTAGTGTTAGGCAAAGCCTATCTTGATCTTGCAGGTGTGACTCACCTGAAGTTCTCAGTCCTATTTGCTACATTTATGACTCAGGTATTCACCAAGTAGTTAATTGTGACCATTACATCCTGGGCAGTTAGAATAAAAATACAGGACATCCATGCTTATGTGCCCAGTGACTCCAAAGCCATACAAAATTACAGTGGCTCACACCTGTAATCCCAGCGCTGTAGGAGGCTGAGTCAAGTGGATCACCTGAGGTCAGGAGTTTGAGAGCAGCCTGGCCAACATGGTGAAACCCCGTCTCTGCTAAAAATACAAAATTAGTTGGTCACGGTGGCAGGCACCTGTAATCCCAGCTACTCTGGAGACTGAGGCAGGAGGATCACTTGAACCCAGGAGATGGAGGTTGCAGTGAGCCAAGATCATGTCACTACACTCCAGCCTGGGCAATAGAGTGAGACTCCATCCCCAAACAAAAAAATGTAGGAAGGCTCTCAAAAGAGAAATTGTTTAATTTGCCCCTGAAGGGTTTGGCAAGCTGAAGAGTTACCGGAAGAGACTGCTGTGAAAATGGTGCAGGATGGTGGCCCATGCCTTAATCCCAGCCACTCGGGAGGGTGAGGCAGGAGAATCGCTTGGGCCTGGGAGGCGGAAGTTACACTGAGCTGAGATTATGCCATCGCATTCCAGCCTGGGCAATAGAGTGAGACTCCATCTCAAAAAAAAAAAAAAGGAAAGAAAAGAAAATGGCGCGGGAATCCTATCCCCCCTCACAGAGACGAGGTGACTGGCAGGCTATCCCTCACCACGTGGGAAGCTTTCGACAGCCAGTGGTCTTCCGCCACATTCATTTTCTCTGTGCATAAGTGAGGACACTAACCTGCTATTTCTGTGTGCTACATGAATAGATTTAGTTTCGCAGGCCCATACTTTCTTTATAAAGTAAGTTTTCTATACTTAAAAATTGGAAGACCATGCTTAAAGGTTCAGATTGCCTACTTCTCTGAAAATAGATTATTCACCACTGGCTAGGCAGTATGTGAACTTGATGTAACTGAATGGAGATAACACAACCTAAATAGCTGCCAGGCAGGGCATTTTTGTGTTGTTTTTATTAATTACACAGAATATTTTTTGTAGTTTTCGCTAATTCAGATTTGCTTTGTGCTACAAATATGTCAAGTGTAGAATGTTTTTGCGAGATCTGTATGTAATTGTATTCCAGGGCTCATGGTGGATATTTGCATATTTCTAGATAAATTAAAAGTGGTTTTGATCTTATCAGAACATCACAGAGAGCTGTGAGTCCCTTTTTGTTACGCGTTTGAAAGAAATCTGTAACACCTTTGAGAGAAAATGCGTATGTAGCACAGGCAGTTCAGAATTTTTTTCCAGGGTAATGGAAGACTTTTTTCTTCTGTATGCTGCACTTCACTTTGAACGTTAACAGAGAAGCATTCTTGCCAAACATGGAACGTTGGCTAATATTTTCCGTCATTACTCTTTTACTTCCTATGGAATCTTTAGCAGGTCCTAAACTTTATTCTGTCTGTGACCATCTTCTCTCAGTATACATTTTTTTTTTTTTAGCCATTTCTTTGTGAAAAATTGGGAAAAGATAGAAGCATCTAAAAGGCTTAGCTTTTTAAGATGAAGCTTCCATACCTAGAATAGTGTCTGTTAGTTGAAAAATACTTGTTGCATAAAGGGAAAGAGGTTTGTTATGTTGCATGCTATTTGAAGTATTGAAATTTTATGTTTTATGATTTTCAAAATTGTATTTCCTGGGACTTTGTTATGCATCAGATCTGAATTATGTAGAAAAAGCTGACCTATATACAATTTAGGCATTTTTCCTAAGGGCTTTTGCCTGAGAGAAGAAACTGTAATATGCATTATACTTGTAACATGGAAAGGGAGCTAGTAGGCGCAATATGTTAGCTAATAAGAAATTGGCTAGCATCCTGTGTACCCAGAAAATCTGAGACAGGTCTCAGTTAATTTAGGAAGTTTATTTTGCCAAGGTTGAAGATTGTTGAAGAAAAGAGTCAAACTCTGTAAAATATTTTTCAAGTTTTATTCTGAGCCAAATATGAGTGACCATGGCCCGTGACACAGTCCTCAGGAAGTCCTGAGAACATGTGCCCAGGGTGGTTGGGGCACAGCTTGGTTTTCTGTATTTTAGGGAGGCATGACACGTCAATCAAATACATTTAAGAAATACTTTGGTTTGGTTCAGAAAGGTGGGACAGCTCAAAGGACTTCCAGGCTATAGGTAAATGTAAACATTTTCTGGTTGACAATTGGTTGAGTTTGTCTGAAGACCTGGGGTCAGTAGAAAGGAAATGTTCAGGTTAAGATCAGATTGCGGACTTCAGAGAGAGAGAGAGCAGATTGTAAAATGTTTCTTGGGCCGGGCACGGTGGCTCACGCCTGTAATCCCAGCACTTTGGGAGGCCGAGGCGGGTGGATCACGAGGCCAAGAGATCGAGACCATCCTGGTCAACATGGTGAAACCCCGTCTCTACTAAAACTATAAAAAAGCAGCTGGGCATGGTGGCGCATGCCTGTAATCCCAGCTACTCAGGAGGCTGAGGCAGGAGAATTGCCTGAACCCAGGAGGCGGAGGTTGTGGTGAGCCGAGATCGCGCCATTGCACTCCAGCCTGGGCAACAAGAGCGAAACTTCGTCTCAAAATGTTTCTTACGTGACCTAAAAGGGTGGCTGGCTCTTAGTTGATTATCTCCTAGATCTGGGAAGGAAGGAAAGAAAACAAAGGTGAAAGGAGATTCTTTATAGCATGTAGATTTTTCCAAGAAACTTTGTAGGACAATTGCAAGGTATAGGCAAACAAATATATTTTTGGGTTAAATATTTTTATTTTTTTCCTTGTCTCATAATGTTATGCTAGAGTCAGATTGGAAAGTAAACCACAGATATATAAGGTTGAATAAAACCCATCTGATGAGAATTTATGGTTTGTAGATCATGACTGCCCAGACCCCTTAGGAATTTGGGCAAGATAAAAAAAAATCAGAGCTTAGTCCTCAGGGTGTGGGCGCACGACGCAGCCTCAGGAAGTCCTGATGGCATGTGCCCGAGGTGGTTGGGAGACATCAGTCAATATATGTAAGAAGTACATTGGTTCAGTCTGGAAAGGGGGACAGCTTGAAGCAAAGGCAGGGAGACTTGAAGCGGGGTTCCGGGTCACACACAGGTGAGGGGAACAGTTACGGTATATTCTTTTGAGTTTCTGATTAGCCTCTCCAAAGGAGGCAATCAGACATGCATCTGTGTCAGTGCGCAGAGGGGGAGACTTTGAATAGAATGGGAGGGAGGTTGGCCTTAAGCAGTTCCCAGCTTGACTCTTCCCTTTCGCTTAGTGATTTGCGGGCCCCAAAATTTATTTTCCTTTCACAACCCCTTCACTGAATCTAAAAATTTTAAAAAATGTTTATTGTATGCAGGAGACTTTGTTGGTTTAGGAACAGTGATACCTACAGCATAGCATCAATTTGTATAAGATTATTGGTTTATTTTGGGGTTCACTCCTCATTGGAATTAAAACTTAAAAAAAAAATTTTCTGTTGAGATATAATCCATATACCATACAATGCAACCATTTAAAATGTACTCTTCAGAAGATTTTATTATATTAACAAAATTGAGTAAGTTCACCCTCATGTTTTCATCACTACCGAAAGAAACCTCATACCCATTAGGAGTTATTCCCATTTACCTCTCTCCCAGCCCCTGGCAAACACCCATCTCCTTTTTGGTCCTATGGATTTACCTCTTCTGGATATTTTACATAAATGAGATCAGATAATTATAGAAAAATGAAACATGTATCATAAAAAACCTACAGAGGAGGGAAATCCAGGGCTCTGCCCTTCCCCAAAAGCAGCTAATGAGTTGGCAAACACTGTCAGAATCAACTTCTGTAAAATTCTGGAATTGAATCAAAACTGGAAGACTTGGTGAAGAAATAAGCTGCTGCTTAGTGATGAGAGTGCTGTAGCGTTTCAAACTTCCTTGCTACCATTAAATTGCCTGCCTCCCACCTGTCCATGAGGAAGCCCAGGCACAAAGATTTAAGTCAACTTTCATAATAAGCACAAAGAACCAAGGAAACCATAGACATGGAACTAAAGGAAACTAAGTCAGAATTTTTCAACAGAGAACATCGGTATAGAAAACTTACTTTAAAAGGTATAATATGAAGCCGGGCACGGTGGCTCACACTGTAATTACAGCACCATGGGAAGCTAAGGTGGGTGGATCACCTGAGGTCAGGAGTTCAAGACCAGCCGAACCAATATGGTGAAACCTGTCTCTACTAAAAATACAAAAATCAGCCAGACATCATGGTGTGTGCCTGTAGTCCCAGCTACTCGGGAGGCTGAGACAGGATAATTGCTTGGACCCAGGAGGTGGAGGTTACAATGAGCCGAGATCGTGCCACTGCACTCCAGCCTGGGTGACAAAGCGAGACTTGGTCTCAAAAAAAAAAAAAAAAAAAAAAAGGTATAATATGGAAATTCTAGAGTTGCAAAATACAATAACTGAAGTGAAAAATTCACTTGAGGGGTTCAACAACATATTTTAGCAGGTGTAATAAAGAATCAGTGAACATGAAAGTAGTTCAATTGAGATTATCCATTTTGAGGACCAGAAAGAAAAGAATAATGAAAACTGAATGGAACCTAAGAGACCTGTGGGTCACCACCAAGTATACTAATATGCACATAATGGGAATTGGAGAAGAAAAGAATATTTGAAGAAATAATGTTTAAAAACTACTCAAACTTGATAAAAGACATAAATCTATATGTATAAGAAGTTTATTAAACTCCAGAATAAATATAAAAAGATCCACACCAAGACTTATAGTCAAGTTGTTGAAACCCAAAGACATAGAATTTTGAAAGCA